AAATATATAAAAATTATCCTAGAATAACTCTTTTAACTCAAATAATATATGTTTTTCTAACTGTTATTTACAATAACATATGTGTCGTGACGTTATAGAATTCAGAATTCTCGTAATTGTGTGCAAGTTTTGTAATTTTTTTTAAAAGTTAGTAATTGATTTTTTTTCCCCCTTACATAGTAATTATTGTGTGCAAGTTTTGTAATTTTTTTTAATACTTCATATATATATATAATCAGTCCAATAGATATATACTCAATAATTAATACTTAATAGAATAGGTATAAAGAACCTCAAATAGAGGAGGGGAAAAAAAAAACTGTAGTGAGACTGCGAGGAGGAGAAAAAAAAGATTAAGGATAGAAATTAGGAGTTAATTCTTTAGGCTTACTATTAAATCTGTGCTATTGGATTAGGTTTAACAAGGAAATAAAATTTTTGGGGCCTCTGCCAATTGCTATAGGTTGAGGTTTAATAAGGAAATACAAGTAAGGAAATAAAAAATTTGGAGTATAATAATTTAAGAAAAAATAAAATTTTAGAAAGGTAATAATATAAAAATAAATAAATAAAATTTTGTGGCCTCTCCGCCTATTGATTGAAAAGAACATAAATTTTTTTAAAAAAATAAAAATGTATATGGAAAGAATTTTTTTTTGAAGGCCTTCCATTGATTCGGGCTTTAAGTGATCGCCGAAGTCAACTAAAGCTCCAGTCGCCCTGTAACCAAATGATACTTTGTGCGTGGGTTGAATAAAAAAAATAAAAATAAAAATAAAGCAAAAGAAAGTGGAGTTGCTTGTGTATATATAATGATGTGATATGGTGAATTTATCCAATAGACAAGTAGACAACACTAGTGGACTTTTTGTGGGCATTGGCCAACATGGAATGAATACATACCTCAAGGACTAAATGACATCTTTAGATATTAAAGAGGGGGGTGAGGTTAAAAGTGATGGTGCCAAAACACCAAAACAAAGTTGTGGTACAGATCAAAATGAGAAGGCCTATAGGACAAGAGAAATCCATGGCACGATCTGGAGTCGTGTCGTTTTATTTTTCACATATACGGTGGATAGGTAAGGTTGAGTCTCTGAAAAAAACACAATCAAAAAGCAAAAAGGTCACAACAAACAACAAATGTTGCCACGTGAAGAGGGGCTTTCGGAAGGGAGTACGGGAAAGGGACTATCGTTGTCCATACTTGCCGCGGGTGTTTTATAGCATTCCGTACTCTCAGCCGGGTTCACTCAGCCCCACTCAGTGGTACTACAATTAACTTAACTCACTCTTTTATCTTTTTGATGGTTAATGAGCTCAAGAACGAACTTTACTCAGTTACTGTAACTCTACCCCGGTTAATGTACTTCAAGTTAATTAACTATGTATAGAAAAGTATACTTTTTAGGATCAATCCACTTTTGGGCTGCGCAATGGAAACATTTTATTTATTTATTTATTTTAATCTCAGTATTTTAGTTTCAATCCTATTTTTTAAAATTTGTAGAAATTTTATTAGGTGCACCCTAGTTTTTTTTTTTTTTGTTTTTTTATTTTTTTCGGTAAGTAAATGATTGGTGCAAGAAAGAGTCCAACCTGGGAATGGCAAACCCTAGTGTGTTGCAGTCTGCATTAGTCACACGTGTTTTCCTATGAGGAACCGGCAAAGAACATATATTCATGAATTCGTGAATGAACAAATAATGAAATTAAAAAATTGGGGAAGAGTTTGCTCTCACAATGTCAATTTAAAATGGCCCATTTGGCAACCACAATTGTTTTGTGTTTTTACTTTGAGTTAAAATAAAAACAATGTTTTTGCTTTGAAGTGTGTTCAATGCTATCTGGAAGATTGTTTAATAAAGTATATTTGTTGCAAGAATTTTGAAAGCAAAAATATTAAAACATATGTTTAGTAAAAAACCGTTGCACGTTTGAAAAATTAAATGACATTGTTTGTTTGTTGTGAACAATGTTTTTGGTACAATGAGAACGCAACTAGAACCATCAATTTTTTGCTTCTGGTTTTGGTGTCTTATTTCGGAAGCGCTTATGTAATATTCAAATAGCAAAAAACGCTTTCTTAACACAGCTTCGTACTTTTACTTCGTTACTAATACACCAGCAAAAGCAAAAAACACTAAGTAGAAGTGGTTGCCAAACAGACCCTAAATGGTGTAAAATCCATTTTTGAATCCTACCTATATGGGGCGTTTGGGTTTAGGGGTTTTCTCTAAAATTCATAAATTTAGAGTTGTTCATCCGTGAATTTCATAGTTTTCCCTTGTCTCCCAAACATAGATCAACCACACAAATATTAGGACATCAAACACACATTGGGAATACATGTTGTTTGACTGTTAATCGGAGGGAGATGGAGTTTCCCAACTTAACCCTCTCACTCACGGGACCAAGACCTGCATGTGGGTTGCTCATAGTTTCTTACGTGATGCAGTAAAAACTAAAAAGGGCACCCTGACAGGTGATATTTTGATTCAGGACTACGTACCATATATTAATTTTAGATGGTCCCCTAATGGAGACATTTAATTGGCAGAAAAGTCACCAGGAAAGAGTCCAATCTTATGCATGAATACAATTTTCCCTTTTCAATCCAATTATGGAAATGGCATATCTGTTAACCTATTTGTGAGTTCTATTTCTCTCATGTGATCCGAGACGGACCTAGAATATTAGGTGAGGGGGGCAAGAATGAAATCTTTTAATAATTTTGTAAGGGCAATAACAATATCTTATAGGTGTATAATGAAAAAAAGAAAAAATAAAAAGGCATAGTAGTTAAAAAAAACAAATTTCCCGGGGGCATGTAGGTCTGTCCTGCCTATGACAACTAACTTGTTACATGGCGCCCAAAAAAATAAAAAATAAAAACTTATTACTTGTACTAATGGGTGGGTGTTACTTTATTTTATGAATAAAGATTTAAGGATGGGTATTTGTGGTTGTAGGCTTCAGTATATAACTTTATGGGATGAGACTCACACCTTATTACATAAATTGAATTCGGTAATTGTTAAATTCGATTCTTAAATTACTATTATTATTTTATTTAATCTTGACAAGAAATTTATAGCTCCGGCCTCATATCTCTTCGATGACTTAAACCTGACTTTTTACTTTAAAGTGCGAGAAATATGGGGTACAGCCGTTTGTGGTGAATAGGTGTTACATTTGAGATGGCAATATAATATTTAACACATGAGGTGGATAACAGATGGTTTAAGCTGTGCAATTCATTAGGTTCTCGTGCTAGCTATGTGATGGATATGACCTACCATTAGTCTCAACTAATACATGTCGTACTATAGATTTTATTAACTAGTCTCAATTTTAGGACTGAATTCGGACAAATACTACTATGATTTTAATATCCTTAATATCACATGTTCTGTACTAAATGTCCTAAACTTATTTTCGGTAGGTAAGACTAGATTTTATTACCAAATAGATCGAATATACAAAAGAGCCCAAACAAAGATTAGATTTTAATTACCAAAAAGATCGAATATACAAAACAGCCCACACAAATCCACTGGCAAACACTACAGACACCAAATAATAAAGCAAATTAACCCACCACATATACAAAAGAGCCCACTAATTTATTTATTATTATTTTGAGTTAGGTAATTTTTAGTCATACTTGACTCCACAAGGACTTGAACCTTCACTTCTCCTAGGTTATACAATTTAGGTCGTTTTGCTAATTTTGGGTGAAAAAGATTAAAGATGTCCTATCTAACTTTTGATAATTTTTTTATTTTAATATTTTGGTGAATATTCTTATATTATGATCATAATCTTTCAACTCAGTTCTCACAAAGTGATTTGCCAGATATTAAACTCAATTAATTAGTGAGTGAGCATATGTCAGAGTGTTGCATGAACAGTAATACGAACAGCGACATGAGTGATGAGCTTGTAGTTACGTGGGGACTTGCAGACTCAACGTATTTTCAAATTAGTGTGAGTGAATATAATATCTTAGGAAGAATGTTGCAGCAATTAAGGACAAACACAAAGACAATGTCCCAAGTGTTTCTTTGCATTCTATATTAACAACCCTCCAAATCTCCAGATATATATAAAAAAAACAAGCATAAATCCAAAACACTTGCAGAAGAATCCATTACAATGAAAGCTCTGTCAATCCTCAATGGATTCTAGCTTGCACACTAATCCTTTTGAATGATTCAATTGGAGGGCCATGGTTTTTCCTCTGGAAGTATTTGATGGGTCTTAACCCCACACCCTCATGTACTTCCAAAAACTTATCAAATTAAAAAGATTATTCGGTTGATATAGTACATGATGTGGGACCTACAAGCATATGTGGCTTTGGCAATCATACAAAGGATATACATGCATGTTGTGAGAGTATCGTGTACTGAGTTAGTCTATAATTATTAATCTGTCTCAGATATTAAAATATATAGTTAAAAAAGTGTTTGTTGAGTTTATTATCATAGGTGACCATGCATGTGGTAATAAAATTAATTGTAGGGATTTGATTGATCGACTAAAGAAGTTCAATGAGAGGATGTTTAGAGAGAATTTAGAATAGAAGTTAGGAATGATACAATATTAAAACACAAGGTACGAGGAGTACTCTCTTTGATAAATGAGAAGGTATAAATCATATGAAAATCATTCCACATTAGAAAGATGTGGAATGGTTTTTAAAGATAATTTCTAAATTACCTAGAAACATTACATAAATCATATGAAAAGGGAGGTATTTCTTTTTCTATTTATTTATTTATTTATTATTACATCATCTCTCTCTGTTTTTTTCTTTTCATGGGGACCTGCTTCAGTTACAATTTGAATAAGCCAACGAAAGGTAGTTCAATTACCCTGGAAAAAGGTGAATATATGGAGAAAAGAACAAATATGTTTCCTTCCAAATTATAGGCTGCTTCAAACATGCACCACATACCCTGTTCTATGTTTTGCATTATTTACAACAAGAGAGGTAATGCTGTTGATCATAATTTCTATATAATATTATAGAAAACATTAGGAAAAAAAAAGAAAAAAAAAACTGGCTCATGTAGCCTTTTATTCAATCCTACTATCTCATCTGATCCCTAGCTTACCTTACCCTTTTAACATAAAAGTGGCCACTAATTCCTCAAAATCTGCATTTTTTCTTCCCCAAAACTTTAAACAGGATCCCTCCACCCCCTCTCTTTCTGTCTCCTCTCTCCTCAATTTTGCTTCACTCTCTCAATGTCATGCACCTTCGTCCGTAGAGAGACTTGAACCAGTCGATGACTGGCTAATTGGAGCTTGGATTAGACGACTTGGGCAGTCTTTTCTTGAACCCAAGTTGAGAACCTTTCAAGGGTGTTCATGTCAGCTCTGTAATGCTTCTGTGTAAACTCGAGCAGCATCGGCCATGTGAAATCCGGGTAGACTCTAGGGCTGTTGTTGTCCAACAATTCAGTTGGTGGGCTTACAACCTTATCTTCCTTTGGACATAGAAAGAAAGCAAGAGACTTCCTAGCACTTGTGTTGTTCACCACGGCTCGATGCAGGCAACTTTTGTATCTTCCATTTGATAGAGCCTGAAAATTGAAATTCACCATAAATTCAAACTTCTAAAATGGCAATTAAAACTAAATGATAGTCCAGTGTGTCTTAATCAACTTACCATGAAGGTGTCCCCAATGTTAACGACAAAAGCGTTGACATTGGGGCTAATTGAACGCCATTCATTGTCAACACACACTTGAAGGCCACCCACAGTGTCTTGGTGAAGGATGGTTAAAGATGTTGGATCACAATGAGGACCAGTTCCTAAAGTGAGGTCTGGTTTCTGACATGGCGGATAGTAGTTGAGTCTCATTATGGATTCATTTTCTTCGAAAAAATCCCTGAAATGAGCTTGGTTCACACCAAGGCTTATCCCCAGGAGCTCCATGATTCCAAGAGACAGAGTGCTCATGGCCTTGCAGTAGTCTTGGTAAACCCTCCTAAACATACACACAACAAAAAAGTACACCTTTAGAACACTTTTAAGATGAGTGTCAGTGGTTAAAAAAAACACAAAACAAAAGCAAAAGGCCTGAAATAAAGAAAAGTCAGTGTCACACTTATTCTCTTTTTCCATTCTTTTCTATGATAAGCTGAACAGTAAAAAAAAAAAAATGGAATGGAAACATTTCATACCCAAATTGATCAAAATCTTCACCCATCTTGTTACGGAAATACTCCTCGACGACGTTCGGAGAGTTCTTCTCAGCTGAGAATCGGAAAGAAAGGGTTTCTTTCCATGGCAGCTTGGAGGAAAACCGGCCAACGAAGCTACTAGCATACCCACAGTGCTCACCGAGCTTCCTCTCACACCTTTGCTTCTCAGAGGGTGGCAGGTCAAAGAAGAGCTCCATATAACGATGAGCGTCCGATATGAGTCCGGTGTCCACGCCATGATTGACGACGAGAAAGAAGCCGTGCTCCCGGCACGCTTCCCCAACTAGCCTGGAGGCTTCCACGGCGGAGACAGGGTCTCCGGAGAAGAAACCGCCCAAGTCAATGAGAGGAACATTGAGTTCTGGTGTGTTGGTAGTAGGCTTCTCGTGGTCAGGCCATATGAACTGTGGGGGTATGTTTGATTGGGTTCTAACAAGGTCGTCAAAAGTTAGAGGCTTGTTCTCATCTTTAGGCATGGATGGAATCTTTTTTGCGCAACTCATTACCATTGTATTAATAGTAAATTAGAGATAGGGAGAAGAATTGAAAATGGTGTAGGTTGTGTTTGGAGAGAGAAATGATGGTCAATAGACAAAATAAGGTGAGAGGGAGAGAATAAGTTTGAGAGAAGTGATAGAAGAAAAGCCAAGGCTGTTCTTTGGGGAAATCGGTGAACATAAGTTCGAATCTTATAGGTCTCTTGGACAGGGATTATTTGCAAGGAAGGGCTTTTGAAATGGCAAATTGAGGATAAGGGCTGTCTAAATTGACAAATTAGGTTAGTGCCATTCTCTGTTGTCTTTTTAATGTGTGGCCCAGGGAAGCGTTTTTCGATGTTTGGCGTTTTCTTGGGAGGGGTAATTTTAATATCACCTGCAGAGCTGCACCCTGTCGACATAATCTCACACAATTTTTATTTTATTTATTTATTTAATTGTAGATAATAATTCTTATTAATTGAAAAAGAATAGAATACAAATATATACATCAAATATTACTTTTATTAATGAAAAAAGAATAAAATACAACGATATACATCAAATATTACTTTTATTAATGGAAAATGAACCGAATACAAAGATATACAACAAACCTCAACATAAAGTTCACATAACTCAAAACAATATTTTATTTAAAGTGGTTTAAAAGAATTCTCGTTGCTAAGTTATATAAAGCGAGAGTAAAAACAAATTTAAGAGCAGGAGCATAAAAGCCACAAAATTAAGTCAAAAATAAAGAATTTGAGCAGAGTACGCGCAGAACGTGAGAACGGAAGCGCGTTCGGAGCGTGAGAGCGACACTCATTGAAAATAATGGTATGATTTAGATAACACAAGAGAAGCAAGGGAGAATTACGTCAATGAGTCTCAAATAACAAGAGGCATACCACAATATACAATTAACTCACATATATATATATATATATATATATATATATATATATATATACACACACTATTCTAATTTTAAAAGTGTAAGAAATTATTTTATTTCCAAACAATTTTTACATTTGTAAAATTAAAATATCAGGGTTTTTATTCCCTTTTTGTGGGACACTCCAAAGGATACAAACATTTTATTTGTTTATTAAAAAGTTGCTACGTTATGAGACATAGAAAGTTGAATGATCTTTAGAGAAACAATGATCATTATCAATTTTAGATCATTCAAACACAAATAGATAAATCACATGTTTTTTATTTATTTATTTTTTGTCAATTTGTATTGTTGCTTTAAATTATTATTTTTTGTACATGAGACATTCGATCTTGGTAATGAAAATTTCAAAATTGTTAAATGTTAGTCCAATGTTAAACTATGATTTCCATTGAATTGCAATGCAATTGTTACTCTTTTGTAATATTTGAGTTATGATATTATTCTTTTGTTATTTGTTACCACAATATATTCACATTTTTACTAAAATAAGCTTGGTGAAAACATGTTTAATGGCCCTTCCATGTTGATTGAAATTTGGGATGGTTGGTGATAATCCGTTAGTAACCGACTAACCGGCACAATATATTTTCTAGATTTGTATATGTTTATATTTATTTGGTCTAATCTGTCATGTCTTGAAAATAGATTCTATTTTGAAAATTGATTCTACTTCTGTTACTATATTAAAATATATTTAATTTAAGTTTATAATCTTATTTATATTCATTTTTTTTTTCTTCTCATAGTCATATCCATTGTAAAATATATGAAACAAATTAATTTATGAATTGCCTCTAAACAAAAAATAATAATAATAAATTAAATTTTACTTCTATTGAATATATATGCTCATCAAATATTAGAGTCAAAAAATTTTTCCTCTCCATGTCTAATATATAGTAATTATATTAATCATATCATTTGATTTTATTATTTTTATTTTTATAATATGTTATTGTTTATTAATTGTGTTAATAAAAATATATATATTTTTCCTTTTCTCATAGTCATATCCGTTGTAAATATTTACTAGTAAATATTAAAAATATATGGTGTTAAATATCATTTTTTTCGGCAAATATGAGAAACACATCATTGCATGTACCAATTGATTTTTACATGCATACATGTACATATGAAAAGAGTAAAGTCCAAAAAACTCCCTTGCTATATAAAAATATTGCAAAAAAACACCCATGCTATTTAATAAATGCATATAAATCTTTGTCATTTGAAAATATGTACAAATTGCCCCCCTAATATCAATTGAACGTCAATTTAACCATTTTTTTATTTATAAAAAAAACCAAAATGCTTTTAATATACCCTTAAAAATTGAATTCATTTTTTTTTTTTTAGCGTATATCACCCTTACCTTCGTGAAGGTTTGGACAAATTATACAGTAATAAACTGTTTAGCGTTTATTACATTGATCTCCCTTGAGATTTGGAGCGTGTACTCTACAACATCCCTACCATTTTCTTTCTGACAAACCTGTTGATCAAATTTTATAAAATGACAATTTTACCCTTCTCTTACATGAAAATATTGCATTTCCCTTATATGAAAATCATGATATTAATGAGAATTGGAGCGTGTACTCTACAACATCCCTACCATTTTCTTTCCGACAAACCTGTTGATCAAATTTTATAAAATGACAATTTTACCCTTCTCTTACATGAAAATCATGATATTAATGGATTTTCTCACTCTACGTCACTTTTCGACGGTCGGCAAACGAGTTTAGGGAAGGTTAAAATAATAAACGTTGAACGGTCTATCCGTGTGTTATTTTCCCAAACCTCAAGAGAGATTGGTGTAATTTATCCTCTTCTATTTTATTTATTTATTATTATTATTTTTTTGGTCTTAAGGGCATTTTAGGTATCAAATTAACAAAATGTCCTTATTTGTTCAATTTGAAAAATGTAGGGTTTTTTAACATTATAGAGTAACTGCACATTCTGTATATTACAGGAGTGTTTTTTTTATTTTTTATTTTTTTTTTAGCACTTTACCTCTCTAAAAATAGTTGATAGTAAATTCATTAGAGAATGTTTTAAATAATCGCGATTTGACATACTATAGGTTGTTGATGATGGGAAAAAATCATCTCCTACTTACCTCTCACCGGAGGCCATCCAGTGCTGACATGGCAACAGGTTAAATTCTATATTTACCAACTTCTTTGACATATCTACAATGTTTGTATAAATCTTTATACACAACATATATTATATTATTTAATTGATTGTCGGGTCCCACATGTAAAATTTGAACGTGTGTAATGAATGCTCTTTTAAATTTTCAGATAAAATTTGAAACTCTCCCAAAATCTCTCTTCCAAATTGCTCTTCCAAACAAAACACAACATCTCTCTCTCTCATCTTATCCGTGAAATATGATTTAGGGTTTTGTACCACATATGAAGATTAACACAACCAAACATCTTCTTTTATACTTCTTTATTTTTATAATTTTTTTAGATTGATTTGATCTTTTATATATCTGGATCATTAAATGAGTTTTTTAGGGTTTTTTTTTTTTTTTTTTTTTTTTCAAATTTAGGTTTACTTTGGATTAATGGCAAAGATTTGCGTGAACGAAGTGTGCCATCAACCACAACCCACGTAGGTTGATTTTGTTATTGGCTCTCTGTGTCCTCTCGACGCTCATTAGCGCATGCTTCGTCGGCAAACCATTTTAGGTCCGAGTCAAAGTCTACTGCGACACTTTCAATTTCTAGGCATTTTGATTCTCGGACTATTTAATAATTTTTAAAATTTGATTATATTGCTTATACAATTCCGTCCTAATATTCATGGTTTATAACTTTAAAATCACATGTTTGTCATTTTCATTACAAACCCGTCTGCATCTGGAATGGGAATAATTGTTTCGTGGAGATAGGAAAGGAAAATAATTTATCAATCAAATTTGTCACTCTATGAAAAATATTTTCATTCTTTTTTCAGGTAAAATATTTTAATTGTTTGGTATTTGGAAAAGGTTTAGGTGTAAAATAGTTTGTCGAAAATTAATGAATAAATTATTTTTGTTATGTTTTAATTTTTTTTTTTCATAAATATTTTATGACAACATGTGGTAAGATAACCAATAGGCATGTGGCCTAGCGGTACAAGACTCCTACTTCCCAAATGGAGGTCAAGGGCTGGAGGCAGTGTGTGTGAGTCCTAACTAGGAAAAAAAAAATGTGGTAAGATAGTATTTGTGTGGAGATTTAAGTTGATAGTAATAAACTTTTAGCAATTCAATTTGTGAGTTGAAAATTTTTCGAGAAACCTTCAAACTTTTGAGATTGTGTTTTCTAATTTTAAAAGTATAGTTTTATGTTTATTGCATAACAATTTAAACTTGGATTCAAATTTTTAGAAATTAATAAAAGTTTCGTGTTGCATTTTTTCAGTTTGGTTCCCTAAACATTATAGTTTTGTGTACCTATTCTACACATAAATCAACCTAATTGTTGTTAATGATTTTTGTTGAAGATAATTAAACTATCTTTTCTATTTTTTTTTATTATATTTTTATACGTTTATCTTTAGCTATTTACCTATTGATGTTCTGGATCTGTTTATAAGTGACCTATATATATATTGTCTAAATCTTTATTTATTTATTTATCTAATTATTAATATCGGCAAGAGATACACACAATCTTACCCTTATGGGGACTTGAAAATATAACACTTCATTTAGATAGTGCTCAAGGCTGACTTAATTTAAAGGGCAAGTGGGAGCATAAAATTATACAATAAAATAGTCAAATACACTTACTTGCCATCAACAGTGAACATTGATAAAGCTCCTTTCATGATGCTAACTTTCAAGAGTTATATACAAATATGTTTCTGAAGCTTCTTGATATGTTGAAACTAGTTCCCTATCGATCTTGGTTTCCTTTTCCCACCGTACTAAGTTTATGTCTTTTCATTTATATCTAATTTCTTTTTAAATTTCGTTCCTTTTTTTATAATACATTGTTTCTATGTATTGCAATGTAATAGTTGCTTGGTTTATAATTTTTGTTCTGCCACAAGTCCGATGAGAATCAGTTTGTTGTAAGTGTTTAAATATATATCATCAACAACAACAAACAAAGCATTTTCCTAATTACTTGGGGTCAACCATATGAATCTTACTTTTCCATTCCACTCTATGAGTTAAAATGTATGATTTATTTAATATCTTTTAGATCAACTATC